TTTTTTTTTTTTTTTTTTAGAGATTTACGCGCTCACCAGACAGTGTAAATTGAGCTTCCCCGGAGCCGACCGTGAGATTAGTTCCCCGCGGTTTTTCGAGTGTTTGGGGTTGCACGAGGGGGTTGGAGTGGCGCAATTGCGCGTGAAATTAGCGAAATGGTTGATGCACGATGAAGGTTGTTCGTCTTAGGGGGTTGCGATAATCTTTTACACAAGCGTTTGGAACATATATTTTTATGCATGGAATTCGGTGGAACGTGGATCGAAGAGACGTATTAAAGAAATTGGGAATTAAAATATAATGTATTAACGTTTTGCTATATATATGTGTGTGTGTAGCATTATAATAATAGGAAGTAAAAGAGGAAATAAATTAATTACGAATAAAATTATTGATAAAATTCTACGTGTCCAAGATACTTTATGATAGAGTAGAAAATAAAGAGAGAGTGTATGTGTGGAGGGTTTTACATGAGATTTCGTATTGATGATTATATAAGATGTTAAAAATATTGAAGACTTACAGTTTTGTAAAACATGCAGGCTTGCCTGTCCTCGTCTTCGCCTGTAGGGCAGTCTATGAAACCGTCGCACAAGGCGTGATCGTCGATGCAATGGTATCTACCCATTCTGTCCGCTGAGGGACACGCAAACCTTTCCATCCCGTCCTCTGAGATAGGACATTCTGTAAAGAGAACGATTAAAAAAATTACGGATAGATTATCTTAATTGCAATGCTTTTTAATTATTATTATTATTAAATATCGTTGAATGTTTCCCTAATTTCTTTGAATTATTGTCCTCGTTCTAAAAATAATTTATGATATATTTATTTCGATTATTTAACTTCTATAATCCGCCAATTTTGATACGTCTTTAAGAATTTCTTATTTATTAATTACTTTATATCATTTTTTATTTTCTTTTTTTTTAGGCAATTATTTTAAATTACGATATTATTCATCTTATTCTTTTCTATTAATTTATAATTATTTTCATTCGTAATTTAATTTAATCTATTAAATTGTTCGCGTCATCGTTAATTCATTTTTATGCAAAACGAGGGAGAGAACTCTCAGAAAAATGGCAACCATCGTCTGAGCGAAATTTTCTCGCAAGATTGCGACAGTTTCAAAGGCTGCATCGTATGAATTGAAAGGCATCGGAAAAATACCGAGGCTCTTGTTAATGTTTTCTTTCTATCGATTCGCCTCAACGACGCGAACTGTTTCGTGTGTGTACGGTAAAAATATACGTGTACATGTATATGCATTCTCAAATTCGATCAATTTATTTTGTTATCTGTTATTTGTATCACCGTCCAATATCAACGATTAACGTTTATACGTATATATCGAACTTTTCGTTTCAATTTGAAATACGATTGTATCGGGAAACGAGGAATTTACGCGTTATTCTCTTGAGAAATTATTATATTATTGCGATGAATAATAATTCGATGAAATTGTTTTATATGTCACAGGTGAAAGAGCGTATTGAGGAAAATGAATTTTAAAACGATCTATTTGCATTGTGCATAAATTAAAATTTAAAAAAAAGAAGTAATAATAATAATTTATAAAATAGTTATTCTTTTATCGTCATCAAATTTTTGAAATTTATAACGTCAAACACGAAGAATAAATCTTTTCAATCTTTCATAGTTAGTGTAAATATTTTATAATTTTCTCATGAATAATAAAATTTAAAGTATAAAGTTCATAAACTTGCTTGAGTTTTTTTCGAGATAAATTTCGAAGGGTTGATCCGTGAATTTAAAATTTATTTTTAAATCCATTTTATTATTTTTCTCCTCTGCAAGAAAATATTACATGTTTCGTAGTAATGCAGTTATTTCAAACAGTTCGCTCGATTTATTCTCCTTATTCATTCGAGCATCATCAATTTATTTATTCAAGATCTATAAGGGTGGAACAATTCAGAATGTAACATTATTTCCAAAACCTTGAATAAAGAAGATTCTCCAAAAAGAGAGACAATTAAAATATGCTGAATCCATTAATTTAAATATATTACAAGTTTTTTTATTCATTATTTATTTTTCATATCTCTCTCATTATTTTCATATTTTTTTATTATTAAATTTTTTTTTCAACCTTTCCTTCCCTCTCTCCAAAGTCTGTATTAAAATTAATTTTCTCTTTTCCCCGTTGAAATTAATTTATCTCTTTTATTTTCCAATATCAAATTTTTTTTACGTTTAAATTAATCAGTCCACCATTCTTACATTTTATTATTTTTAAATCTTTTCAATATTTAACTTTCCCGCATAAAAACAAACTATTCCACCACTTTCCCATTTTCTAATTTTCAATTTCCGCGCAAAAATAAATCGTTTCATTCATTTTTCTCTTTCTATCTTAAATTTTCGAAATTTTTCTCGTCAATGTCCATTTTTAAACTTCAAAATTAATCAATTCCCCACTTTTCAATATCCCGATTCTTAAACCTTTCAAAACATTTTACTTCTCCACGTTTAAATTAACCACTCCACTATATTTCCACTTCCCAATTCCCAAAACTTTTCCAATATCCGCACAAAATTCATTTATCCCTTCCTGTTACCCCCTTCGTTTGTCAACTACGAATCTCTCCTTTTCTCTGTTGTCAAAAAGAGAAATATATTCTCAAAAAATATATTCCTGAATCCTGAATCGTATTGTCGATCAGAGCACACTATCCAACCACGTGAGATTTCCATTAATTTCCATACTCGTATCCCCGGATCGATTCTTAATGAAGCTTTTGTTAGGACGCAGGACAATAGTCGAATAAAAAGAACACCTCTGTCCATATTTCCACCGATGAAAATTTCAAGACAACTTTCCATACGAACGATGCTGTTAACAATGCACGACTAACTCCTGCAGTTTCACCACCACTTCACCAGATCTCGTGCCCATTCAAAAGGAATGGTCGGAAATATCGTGAACCGTATCAAGCTTTCCTTCAATATATTCGTTTAGGTTTACTTTGAAGTTTGTCACGTACTTTTTTTTTTTTAGTTAAATTATTATTATATTATTAAATTTGTTGAATAGATGTACGTTCTATATATAAAGCTCGAGGGAATATCGATGATTTATATGATATGTCAATGTATTTGTGGAAATGGTTCAAAGTAGTTGATTCTAGAGGTTAAAACAAATATATATATATATATATAGAAGTTGGTATGCGGAAATGTCGATTGACGTTATGTATTATAAAAGAGGTGTCTGTCTATATCACTGTTTCACTTCATTTAATGGGAATTTAAATTATTTATAATTTAATAGATATTAAGTTTTATACATATATATATATATATATATTTTTTGATTTTCAGAATCATTTGTAAAAGTGTTCTATTTGATATTAAGACTCTGTATACTGTGTATTAATCTTGATAAAATTTTGTTCAATTTTGTTCCATTGGGTTAACTTCAGGTTTGTGTTGATCCTTTATTTTGACTTTCTGTACATAGAAATTAAATTTTCATTGTGAAAGACAGATGTCAAAGACATCAAAAATAGTTTTAATTAAACTATTTTTATATTACATAAAAGTTTGCGAGAAGAAATTATAATTTTCATTTAGTTTGCTGTTATAATTTGCTCTGGATATACGTAATACAATGTGTTTTCACTAATGGACGAGAAGCATATTAACAAACGGGGTTGGCAACGTTTACATATTAAAACAAACGAAGCCACTAGATGGCATTATTTCCAGCAAATGTGTTAACTCCCATTAAGGTCCAAGTAGAGAAATAATGTGTACAATTTGCGTAAACGTAACATTATTCAAACACGTTAATAAAGTAATTTACATATTGTTCCGGTCTCAAGGTTCGAGAAATTTATACTTCATAGAAATTTGCTATGCAAATCGCAATTTCTATTATTAGTGAAAAAGAAATGATTTGTCACACCACTATATAATATTTCAACTTTCCCTTTAAACTTTAATAAAAATTTATAATAGATATAAAATTTGAAAAAGAAATAGCGGAGGGGGGGGAAATATTGTGTAAGTTTTTTTCAAATTTCTTTTTACAATTTCAATATTGGAAAAGAGAAAAAATAAGAAAGTGAAATGTTGCTTTAACGCAACGTTGATATTTGTCGCTTTTATCCCGATCAATTTCACTTTATTTCCTTCTCGATCATCGAATATAACTCGCCAACTGAATTCATTAATCCACTCTTCTCGAATGAAAAGATGAAAGAAGGTGAAAGAGGAGAGGGATATTGAATAAACTTTAAAAGGATCGACGATTTTCCAGGTCGAACAGGTGGTGATCTTCTTTTTTATTTAAATAATCACTGTGTTATACCTCGAGCTCAGTCGGGACAAGGATCTCCTTGAGATAAAGGCAACATGGATGCACTTAAAGAGCGATTAAAACTGAAATCCATAGTACTCGACGTTCCAATGTCCGTAAATATGAGAGGCTTTGGAAGTCTTTGGGATTTAGAAAGGGGTGAAATGGAAGGAGGAATGGAGGAACGTAACAGCTGTGTGACATTTTGATTCTTGAAGTAAATCTGAAGTAATCTTTTTGTTTTTGTAATCGTTGAAAGGTTTTTATAAAATGAATTTAAATATAACAATGTGTGTGTAACGAAAATTGAAAATTTTTGGTATTGTTTTAATTCATATCGTATCACATCATATTTTTTTTATACAGATTTTTTTCGATATTTTTCGATACTGATATACTTGATTATTAATCTTTTTGACTTCTAAAAAATATTTCATTTTGATTAATTTTATTTTGCGTTTTCTGATAATTTTTTTAACATAGAAAATGTGAAGCTATTTAAGTAACAGGTGAATTTGTTTGAAGTGGTTAGATTAATCTTGCAACATTGATTAAGATTCAAATTATACAAAGTTGTTCTTCTATCAAAGATCAATTTTAATTCTGATTTGATTAAATAGCTTGGCTTGACATAACCAGAGAAAAAAGTCACAAAGTAAAAGGTTAAAAAAAGTCAAAGTTTCTATCGACTTGAACTCTCAAGCGTAATTGAACTAATATTATTACAGAAATTTTACATAAGTTTTGAGTTTCACCAGTGTTGATAAATTTTCTTGAAGAACAGTTATGTACAAGTTTGTTAATAAAACAAGCAAAGTTCGGAAAATAAAAATTATATAGTTAATTATAATTCTAGTCGAAAAGTAATATTGTAAAATTTTATGTAATTGCAGCTTGTCATATGGCATTATTATTAATTAGAAAATTCTTTCACTAAAAGTAAAATATAAATTTGTTTCGTGTTATTTACGAATAAAATATAAAGGAAAATCTTCGAAACTAAGAATTTAATTAAAAATTTAAAAAAGATGAATAGGAAAATAATTCATATATATCATAGTAGAATGAATAAATAAATAAAATTAATTATTCTGTGTTAAAAATATCTGAAATTCAACGATATTAATACTTTATAATTTTGTATTGACTATGATCTATATAAAAAATTATTTTATCCTATCTTACGTAACTAAAAATTAAGCATACTATACTTGTGTTTTATTATTGGAAAATTCTTTTTTATTCAACTTTTATTCGAAATAGCAAAAATATGTTACTATATTAATCTCAATATTGAATCGAAAAGACAAAAAATTTTTATTCTTCTTGTAAAAACGTTTACAATTTCCGCATTGTA